CTTGAACCGAACCTCCACACGGAGCAGATAGCGGTTTTAAGTGATGCGCTATTCATTGTGCTATCAGCGGATGTTGAGACCATTTCCTTCCTCATAAAACATATACAGAGCAGATTTTCTGTCTTTGTTAATGTTTTGCTACAGTCCTTGGCCAGTTATCCCCACCAACCGTTGGCAGGACTGTGTTGCACGTCCTGCCTGTGCTTGTGGATGTCCTTGTGGATGACAAGATCTTATTCAACCTTTGTTTAACCAGGAAATCCCTTGAGATTGAAATTTTTTTTCTGAGGGAGACCTGGCCAAGACAGCACACCAGTTACAGTTTAAATTGAAATATAACCCAACAGACAGAGAACACAAACATCAAACACACAAGGAAGAGTAAATCTACCTCAAATTAGTCCGTTGCATTTCTCAGTTACACTGAGTTTTAGCATGACTTTAAAATACTAATTAAACTATAACAACAAAACAGATACTAACAAAAGGGCCCCATTCCTAAAATATTCCATTATCCAATATTTCATTCCATAGCGCTACTATTGGTTACTACTTTAAATTACCTTAGAATATTCAGACATTCATTTCACCCACATTTACTTAACCAAGGGCAAAGAATTACAATGACTTACAGATCACAGGCGTTTGATATTTTGGTATGCATTGTAGCCCTTTGCAGATCAAACCATAAGGGACAGACGGGGAGGGCGGGATGTGTTTCAAATACAACTTCAGATCAGGATCAGGGCAAGGGGAGTTTGCAATTAGCATGGATTAAAGGGCAGATTATAGCGGGACTAATGAGAACATAAAGAGATTAGATTCTAGGAAAGAGTTGTGGAGACATGGGAGAGATAGACAGATATGGAGCGTGGAGACAAAGAAAGAGAGAAAAGGCCACTGAGACCAACTGATATGAGAATGCAAGGAAAAGGTGTGCCAGGCAGATATGAGAGAGGGAGGAAAAGAGTAGCTTGGTAGAGCAAGAGATCCAGGAGTGCAAAGAGAAGGTAGAACGACATAATAGGAAGAGAGATAAAGAGAAAGAGGCCTCTGAGACCAAGAGATATGAGAGAGCAAGGAAAAGGTAGGCAGCATGAAGTAGAGAGAGGCCTAAATATGTGGGAACCATAGAGACGGATGGTGGTGGGGCCGGGAGTTAGGAGAGGTTCTTGAAGTAAATTGATGGATAGGTGGTCTGGGAGAGGAGAAAGATTGAGACAATAGAAAGAGACAGGGGAGCTAGGCAAAGACTCAGAGACAGATTAAAAGCAGCAGAGGGCAGAATACGCAGACACACATGCACTCGTATAGATAAACAAAAGGACAGAGACAAAGAAAGAGGCACACAAATTCCCTCTCTTTCTATTTTCCTAACATACACACACAAACGCACGCTGCATTATCTGTAGCTCTCGAGAGAGATCCCGGGGCATTGCTAATATGCCTCCCCACAGTCTCTCTACAAAAACAGAGATGTTAAGAGGATAGGAGGCTAACAAAGACCAGCGGGTGCAGAGTGGAGACACCAGACTCTCTGCACAACAAACAGAAATGCAAACAAACAATGACAACAAAGAACAGAAACCAACGGTGCCCTGACAAAGATGAATTGATCCATGACTTTGTGTAAAAAAAAACTCACCAAGATGGAAAATTTCTGTGTGTTTGTGTGTATGGGGAGTCGTCTAGAGCCCTCAAGAGTAAGAGCAGGGGCGTGTGTGTGTGTGAAAGAGTATGCACATTTTTGTTGTTTCTCCTGATGTGTTTTTCAGCAAAGGAAGTGTGCTTAAGACTTAAACTTGCCCCTTCTTTTTTTTCTTAATAATACAGTAGCCGCCCTTGTTAGAGGAGAGAGAAGAGTATTGATTCACTTTCTCATTCCATAGAGATCAGTGTGGAGGGCAGATTAACAGTTTATAATCTCATTTGTTCAGTGCATGCACCAATGCATGTTTGCTCATACTGTACATTTACCTTCTGACAGACACCTGTCACTCAGCGGGATCAGAGAGGGAATTCAGTGTCAATGGAAATAATAATCACTGTTTTAGTTGGAATGACTCCAGTAAAGGTGATGTCTGGGACAGGTTTATGAGAAAGCAAAATCTAAGGGTTATGAATGCCATTCTGGCATTTCAGCTCCAACTGACCACCTTTCTTAAAAGCCATCATTTCCCAGGCCGGGGATATGAGCGACTGAGCATGTCGAGTGCCATTTTGGATCCACTGACCTTTCAGTTCACAGTCTGACTGGCAGGGGTGTGATCCCTTGATATGGATGTTTGAAAGTGGGCCATGTACTTGTGTTGAAATGTGCTAGGTAGAAGTACTTGTAACGGACAATGAGGGTTTTATGCATACAAGTACTGTGTGTACTAATCTATGATTGAAAACACTGTGATAAGCTTGAAGCAACCTTTCCCTCCCCTGTTGGAAAGAAAGAGGGGAGGAAGAGGAGGAGGAGAGAAGAGACTGCTTCCAACATTACCACATGGCCCTGAAATTTCAGCCTTAACCTGGCGCAGACCCAATAGCTAATAACATTTTTGACCAAAAATTTGATATAGAATTCAATGCCAAAGTGCAATAAAAACATGGTCTATGATCTGTGATATATGAAAACTTGGCTTTGGTATAAAGAGCCCAATAACAAAAAGCAAAAACCTTCACCAGTTTGATAAATTCTCAAAGAATGGAGCTCAAAGAACCTGATGAATTTGGGGTCAAAGGTTCTCTATTACATTTTTTATTCTCTTTATTTTTCATTAACCAACTTTCAAAACACAGTCAGCAAGTCACAACATACATCTGGTGAACCTGTGTTACTACTCATACTCAGAGACATAGCACAAACAATAAGAATGGCATTTGGTTTAGCTTATCACTGTCAAGACACCGATCATGCTCTTTCTCTCACTCTCACTATCTCTTTGTCATTGCTGTCCTTTTTTGCTGTCATTCTTCTTATCTCACAGCCTCTCAATCTCCTGCTCTGCGTCTTTGTCTTTCCTCTACAACCCTGTCCATCTTTGCTTGGGGAGTATGAGCCTCAGTACAAAATACAGCAGACAAAATGAAGATGTAGACTGTAACCTTTCTAGATAAGAAGGCAGATAAATAGGTGAGTGTGAGTGCATGCATGTGTTTGTGTGTTACTGGAATAGCAGATAGATAAAGCCGTCACAATAAGTAGTGTTGTCTGGCTGTCCCTGAGGACAGAAGAGGAACAGAACCCCAGGCCTTATCAATCCTTCATGTCTGTTTATTCCTTTCCTGTGACCATTTAGCATGTTTGTTGGGGGATTTGGCTGTGAGAAAGAAAGAAAGACGAGAAATTTGAGCTTGGAGTGTTATTTTATTTATTCATCCTTTGAGATAATCAGGGGTTTATCACAACTTGGATCTTATTGATATAGTTTTGGCTATTGTTTCTGTCAGATTATAACATTTTACTTAAGTAATTGCAGAGACCTGAGAATAGGAATACTGCAATATTGCGACAATGAGCGACGATTAGCCAGATTATCCAAACCACTTAATTTGCAGGTCAAAAGGATAATAATAACTTATAGCACAGGATATGTGTGTGTGCACAACTACGGATGGTAGGTAGGTACATAGACATACATCTGACTCTTTTACTGCTTTCATTTGACAAACATCTGTTAAATTTAAAAACCTTTACCCAACCAAGACATTTTATTTTATGAAATTCAACTCAGAAGTGCTACATCCTGTCTGATGTACTGTTGCATTATAATACACACATACAGCTACCACTCTTAAGAATAATCACACACTAGTGGGACTTCTGATAATTACTGTGCACCTGCTTTTTAAAGCCAGGACTTGTGTACGCCCAAACACACACACATTGTCCTTCTCACACGCTAACACAAACATGTACTTACACACACAAACATGCTGCTGAGCCGCATCTTGGCACTGCCCTCTCTCTACCAGTATGATTCTATCTCTCCTCACATATACCTCCATCCATTCATGCTGTCGTTCTCTCATCTCCCCCTCCAGCATCTTCCTCACTCTCCTCTCCTCTGTTGTGTTTTTTGGCAGAGCTTGAACAGAATTGCACAGGAGACTTAAACTGGCACAATACGTAGCTCCCATCCCACCTGATGCCTTGCTGTTACTCCTATACCACCTCTCCTCTCTTCTCCTCTCCTCTGTGATATCCAATTACTCATCCTGAAAATCAAGTTATGAGAGGGATAAAGTTTTCTATTAAAATAGTTGTATTCTACTTGCTCCCCACCTGTCTAAAAAACGTGGTGATATGTTCTGACATGGCAGTGTTAGTGAGAGGCCAAGCAGAAAGTGAGAGAATGAGACTTCGGGTTACTGGGGTTTTCACTCACTGTTTGCATACTTCATGTTCTTGTTTGGCTCAGACACAGTACAAGGTGACTTTTGTGATCGGACCACACTTTTATGTGCCCACAGTGCAAGACAATTCACTATTTATTTATGCAATTTTGCATCTATAGAGCTTCTGCCAGCAGAAGGCACACGTGGGACCCTTAACATGCTCTTGTTATACCATCCTTGCAATAGAAATATAATTGTGAGTTTATAAATGTTCGATACTGGAACTTTTTATAGGGTATTGCTTTGATCATGTAGAAATAATTTTTTACTGACTTGTTTTACTCCATGTTTCCGCTTTAGTTATGCGCACCATAGAGGCAATATAACTGCACACACTTGCCATTTACTCAGAAAAGAGTCCGCAGATCAGCTTCAAGGACGATGACACGACTCTCACTAATTGGGTTGAGGGGCAGGATGGATGGCATTTCGGGAGGCTGAGGGCTTAGCCTGGTTGGTTGGGGACCTCACTGACCTATCGTGTGAAGGTCTTTAAGGCAAACTTATTTCTCACTTGTACAGAAGTGCAACAGCACACACACACATACATGTCCACACAAAGGGTGAGGATTGTGAAGTCTCTTGAGGAAGCAGTGTTAATCCTATTGACAATGGCTTGTCTGAACAGTGGCCTGAAGAGAGATGAGGCTAATTCCCTTTATGAGGACAATAAACCTGCAGGTCACCAAGGCCAAACACACACACAGAATACATATAAACACACACAGACACATCCGTAGCTTCCTTCAGTTCAGAAAATCAAAAGTGTAATAATACAGTATATCACACCTCTCAATGCAATTGTGATGCATCAAAAGTCTGCTTCAGTCCCCTCCTGTAAGAAATATGGCTCCGGAGATTTCATTGTCTCTGATGGAATTTGACAAAGCGATATTGACAATGCAGCTTATTTTTGCGGAATAAAGAGGGAAACGTAATATTGTTTCATTCTCTCTAGCTGTTATTGTGATGTATTTCCAGGCACCAAAATATTTACACCTATCTCTCTGCCTAGTTACTGTCTCTTGCCAGAATACGTTATATCTAAGGCAAAGAAAACAATATTACATTTCTTATTGAAAAGTGGCGATCCTTCACCTTTTAGCCACTCGTTAAAGCACACACACAAAAACACGCACATTGTCGGGCACACATGCACTCTGTTGTGCACATCTGTTGTTGGGCTCAGAAGTACCTATATTATTTTATACATTGAGATTCGAATATGTGTTTTATAAATCTCTAAAATCACAGGTGTGATCTGTGACTAAGTGTGCCTGCCAGTCTCAAAGGCATTTACCATCCAGCTGCGTAAAACATGTTGAGCAAATGAATTACATTCACCATGCAGCTGCTTGCTGTCAATATAAATCACATTAATGTGAAAAGCCTCAAACAGTTAATGATTTGACTATTAATCACTTGTAATTGGAAGGAGTTTGGACATTTAAGTAACACAACTTAATTGCGTTTAGAAAAGTTTGTGTTTTTGTCTCTGCTGTACTTTTCTAAAGCCACACATTACAGTATTTGGTAGTACATTGTAGTATTCTAGTTTTCTACAAGAAACCATGAGGGAGATGACTGTTCTTTTTCTTGAAGGAAGCTAACACGTTGTTTTTTGTTTTTGTGTATGTCTCTCTTTGCTCTCCAGATGGGACCCCGTACACATGGTGGGTGGGTCGGGGCAGTGAGAAGCACTTCTACTGGGGGGGCTCAGGGCCTGGCATCCAGAAATGTGCCTGCGGCATTGACAGGAACTGCACTGACCCCAAGTATGACTGCAACTGTGACGCTGACCACAAACAATGGTAAGTCAGACCATCACGTCTAAGTTGCTTGGGCACAAGCAACTTGTATTGATTACCATTCCTACCCCCTACCATCCGGTCAGCATATGTTTATTTATATCATTCCGCTTAATGTTCCTATGGGTATCCGGCTGTATCCATCCTACAGTACTACAGTTTTGCAGATTTGCCCTATCACTAATGCAGCAGGACTTTTGGGTTATCACAGTTTCTATGGCACATATACTGTATAAAAACTAAGCTAATAAAGATACATTTTCCCTAAGAATTGCTACTTTATAAACACTAAATAGCAATCGACTGCAATACATTAACAGTGGTACTTCTTTACTTCGACATGGATCATAAACTTGAGACTTTTTATATATATTTTTTCTTCTTTGGGCTTTTATTGCCTTTAATCAATACTGATTTCTGGAGAGTGACATGAAAGGGGGGAGGGGCGGGGGATGACACGCAGCAAGGGGCCACAGGTAAAGTGGAAAAAAAAGTGAAATATGTCATACCCAAATTTTGATGGGACAATTTCGCTGTGCTGATACTAAAATTGTCCCTACACTAATGCTAATTAGAATTAATCTGTCAGCTCAGAGCCTCTGTTAGCTGGACAGTCTGATGAGGTGTCTAACTTCAAAGGCTGAAGTGACTGAATGATGAATGCCACCATCAATGATGCGTTTATTTAAGAGGGATGTTTGCTTCCAGAACCAACAGTTTGTGTTTCAAGGCTCTTTTAGCCAGCTGATGGATCTTCTCATTAAACCAATTGCATCGCTGTCTGTGGGTGTGTGCATGTGCGTACATACTGTATGTTAGTAAGATGAAGAGATTTCATTTGCTTTCAAGTCTCCCTCCACCCCATCTCTAAAACTGATGAGATTACAAATAAGTCTTACTCTGTCTCGTTCTCTCCATTAATATTGTATGCATTAATGTCTCATTGTTTGGCTGAGTGACTTTTTGAAATATTACCCATATAACTCTATTTCCACTCATTACCCATATTTTTGGCAGCACATAGAAACACACATGCATGCACAAAGGCATAAATTAGAGCTTACTGTTTTATTTCCTAACTGCAATGAATGGCAAACAATTAAAATCAAATGGTTCTGCAAATAATTTCGAAAATGTCGTACACAAACTTTGCGGTATTGTCATTGGACTAGTTAACATGTGATAGCAAGATAAAGTAATTAAAATAATTATTTAATTAATATTTTTTGTATGTATAATTTTATTGCTTGATTCACTCTTCACTTCTCCTCCATAGATTGATTTAAATATTGCTCCATCCATGCAGCAATCTTCTGTAACAATTAATACATTTACATGTCACTGTTGTATTTATTTTATAAGTTAATAAGTTTATAAGTTTTTTCAATATGAGTAGTGAGCTGTGTTTTTACCTCTTACTTCTATTGTTATTATATTATATTTTAATATTATATATATTTATTTTCACATATTTAAAAATTTGTCACAATAACTTTTATTTTTTTATTATTAAAAGGGGGAAAGAAAAAGTAAGCTATATTAAATGGACATACATACATACATATTATAAAAAGTAATGATATAAAAGAAAAAGATTAAGAGACAAAAAGTAGTGTAGACCCACATGCCAATTGATTATGTTCGGCAATTATGTAGATAACCACCTTCATATTTCAAAACATATATTACAAGGACACACATATGCACAAAGATACATATATAGACATTTGTAGTACTACTTATGTATACATATACTCACACAGACCTATAAACGTGTATACTCATGAAAACCAAAACACTATATAGTTATACTGGCACTGCACCTAACACCATATATGAAACATCCCTGAATAAGCCAGCTAAATTCACCCAGGAAAGCAATATTGGTATAGTTATGAATAGTGTAACCATAAAATGACAAATATTCAAAATAGAAGAAAGCTACAGAAAACAGCGTTTAACTTACCTTACCTCTGACTGCATGTTTCTTGCAACTCATCTTCCAGGAAAGAAGATTCTGGTCTCTTGATATATAAAGAACACCTGCCAGTCAGCCAGGTTGCCGTGGGTGACACCAACAGACCAGGCTCTGAGGCCAAGCTCACTGTTGGACCACTCCGTTGCCAAGGAGATAGTAAGTGTTTCGTCATTGCATACATGTGTACTGTGTAGTTGTAGATGTTGATGTAACATTCTGCAGCAGTCTTTGGTATTTAGAGTGATGGGCAGCTTGACAAATATGTAACCATGTTGGAAATGGCTTGAACCAAAAGGCTTGATTGTGAAGATGAATATCGAGCTGAAAGAGCAGGATTCCCAGGGTATATTTGTTGCTACAAAGTGTTGGAAATGTAATTAATGGGTGATTGAAAAAGGGACATACAAAAAGTAACAATAGCTGAGAATTCAGTTTGGTTGAATAAATGCTTCAGCTGTGCTGATAATAGTGACAGTTACAAAACAGTAAATCATAACAAATGAATGAAAGAGAATAATGAGTCTATGTAAGATCTAGCACTGAAACCCCATTTGTAGGTAGTGTTGATCTGATTTAGTTAGCTTTAATCCGGCTGTTAATTACTGGAAGTCTGCTCGGGGAGCGTGCACGTCAGGTTTTGGTACATCCGGTACGCTGTGGCTCTACCCGCTGTGTCACCACCATAATGTGGTTTATATACAGCGTTTCGCTCAGCTTACACGACATGTAAGCATTGGCAAACCACAATTAAACACACCCAAATAATATATTTTGTTTTATTTATTTTCTTTCGTACAGTCAGTGAGGCATTGGCAATATTTAAAATGTTTGAGGAGTTTATTCTATAACCACAGAGAGAAAAAAGTACTTTGGTCTTAATTATCTTCTCTCTCCTCATGTGGAAGGAAAGTTGGCCTCTTTCTTCATCCCTAATCCTAGTGGAAATTAAACATTATTAATATGTCTTAGACTGTACAATACATTCAGACGTTGTTAGCCAACTTTTGGAAAGTAACAAACCTCTTTTGACAATTAGAATTTGCTGCTGATGGTTTGAATGGGGTCTTAATTAAAAACTATCGTGAGAGAGAACAAGAGAAAACACTTCATGCATAGCGGAGTACAATTTGGCACATTGTTATTTCGGAGTTGCACTTGAGTGTGAAAATAACACATTGCTCATGCTCACATTGTTCAATCAATCAGAGAAACAGTTGTTTTATCTTGACTGTCTTTCTACTCTGGAAAATTACTGTGTATGTGTGGGTGTTTATGTACTTCTGCGTATGTGTGTTTTTGTGTTTGTAGGCATGTGCATTTGTGCCCATGTATGAGTGTGTTGCCAGATAAAGGTATCTGAACTCTATTCAGAGACTTTCCCTCTAAACAGTCTCTCGTCCTTTTATTATCTTCTATCTTGTCCTTGTAGTTTGTGCTGTTTCTCAGGTCAACATCAGATATCAGATACTGCAGGAACACACACACAGACACACAGGGAGGCAGTCTAATCCTTGCTGTTTCTCTTCCTGTCTATTCTTCTAATCAGTGTTGGCACACTGTTCTCTGCGGGACTTTGGGTCAACTGGAAGACACACACAGATTCTGCCGCTCTATCATATTGACCACCTTTCTTTCCTCATAACTCATGACCCAGTACTGTTTCACTTTGCTTCACTTTGTCCTGGACCGACCTGCGGCGTGTCAATACGCCAGTGTGTACTGTGTTTCTGTCAGGTCGGCATGGATTAATTGCATCACATTTGTGATGCATCTGTTATACTTGGCTAAATGAAACATTTCTCATTCTGAATCTGAGTGGGCTTTCGTACAAACTCATGAAAGTCAAATGGATGATGGAAACCTTACCCCAATGATGTAAAGCTACACAGCCATAAGGAGTAGACCTTTTTTACAGCAGCCATTTTGACATGAAATAGAAGGGTAAACAAAGGTGTTACGAATGATACTAATTAAGGCTCCACTCCATGTAGCAAAGCCTTTGCAGTGAGCCAACATGCACAATAGCAGCACCATGACTCTGTTTAATCTGAATGGAATTGGACCTTAATTAGTATCATTGGTAACAGCTTTACTTTTTCATGTCAGAACGGCTGCTATAAAAACGGTCTAGAGCTCCCATTACTAAGGGATATTCAGTAGCTGTAGGCCTGGAAAAATATACATCAACATGTGATGCACACCAAAACACCCACAACCACTGTTTCTGTGTGAGCCTGCATACCAGTGGTGTCAGCGAGGTAACTTGAAGATAGCACAGACTGACGCTAATGCGCCACTGTCCTACTTCACCACGCAACTGGTTCAATTCTCCAGAATCCTCCCCCAGATCAGCACATTGTGGTTACTGTACCTTGATTACTTCTTCTGTCTGTATGGTGTGTCTGGTGTATGCTTTTGGCATCAATTGACGAGGAAGCCAAGAAGCTGGTTTTCTAGCTTAATATGCTTTACTACTACACTAAAAGTACAGTACAGTTTTTGTTAGTCTGGAACAAGTACCACAAACTACAAGTGTGAAAGCAACCTCAGTGATTCTCAATTCCCAAATGCATTACCCATTGAGAGATTTTCGGAACAGAACTGTGAATTCTTCAATCAAATGGTTTTGTCTTTTGAGATTGCCTCTGCCTCCCTCATCCTCTCCCTTTATTTTTTCTCTTAAGAAATCTCCTAAGACGAAATAGATTAAAACAGCATAGAGCGGAAGTAATGTCGGCATCTGCTGTGTGATGTAACAAAATACCAGAGAGGTTTCATAGAAAGTAATATCCTGTGGAGAGGAAAAGCAAACATGGATTTAATCTTTAGTGCAAGGCAGCATGATCATTACGATAATAATGCTTCATATATTATCTATTGACTGCTCATTTTTCATAGTAAAATTAATAATAGAGTGGAGCTATGCAATCTCAGTGGACTGTGAGTGCAGATTTGTGTGTTCTGCCTGTTTTACAAAGACACAGTGTTGTATTTAAAACTACACAGAAATATAGCTAAGAATACCACAGATATGGTTTACACATCTCTCATGCACAGAAGTTTTCCCTCTAATTTTCATCTATCTATCAGCCGGTCCGTCCATTCATCCGGGAGACAGGAAGTGGCCTGGTTCTGTCGAGGGTGCAGAACATGACAGAACACCTGCCCTCACTCCTCACTGGTGTCACACTCATTATGGTCCCTTCATCAACAATCTGGTGCCATTCTCACTAATGTCTCTTCATCACAGAGCTGCCAACATATAAACAAACCATGATTTAATGACCCATGACATCACATCTGTTTGTGTGTGCGGGTCTATCATGTAGCAGTATGGCAGACACAATTACTAAAGATGGATCCTTCTGTCACTTGGAAGGAGCCATATTCTCTTTGTCCTACTCTATTATCCACTGTGTGTGTCTGAGTGTGTGTGAGAGACAAAGAGAGAGTCGTCGTCTTCTATATTGAGTGACCAAATTAACAAACTAACTTTAAAATGAAGATGACTTTGAGGTATGTTTGCAATAGTGCTGGCCAAGGCACTGGAACATGGAGCATACATTATATATTGGCCCATTAAGGCATATTAAACATATATTAAAAATTTCACACGTGAATAGGTACACCGTGTATGATTGATGCTTCTCATACTGTGCATGGAGCTCTGTCTCAGTAAGAGCAATGATGATTGGCTGCCATATAATGGGTTTTCATAGGCAAATGACTAATGTATTGGGCAGTCAGGGAAAGTTTTAGTACAAGGTACTTATGTGTCTGGGTGTATGTGCATGTGCACTCTTCTGTGTGTGTGTTTCTGTCTGTCTTTCTGTGATGGGCACAAGAGCAAGTAAGAGTGTAACTTTCTCTCCGTGTGTGTGGGGGTGTGTGTGTGAGAGAGAGAGAGAGAGAGAGTGTGCGCGTGCTCCAGCATTAATGAAGCCCATTTCCATGGCTAGTTTAATGGCAGCCTATACAGTCACAGGCAGACAGAGAGGAATTAGTCCCATTTATTGATGTTAAAAGGGTTTGGACATTTTAATAGATGGGAATGAAAATAAATGACAGCAAATGAAGCAAAGCAGCACATATTCTATTATTATAAGGTAATGCACCTGCTATGAGACATGCTTGGCCTCATGACTGACCACAAATGAAAGCTTTTAGGGGTCACCTGTGATAGTTCAAAATTAATTAATTGCTTTGTACCCATTTGTCACTGCTCATATGCCCACATATAGTGTCTAACAAGACACTGAGGGTCTGGTGTGCATTACATAGAGCTCATTACTTTAGGTTTCTAAAGTAATAATGAATTCTGTGAACTTATATTATGTTGAGAATTTTAGGCGTAAATACATAAAGAAATACAAAAATGTGGGTAAAAGTCAGATTTTTAAAATACCATTTGCTCCATAAGTACTTTGTAGTTTAACTAGTTCTTGTAGGTTTTTTAAACTAATTGTCGTGCCCTGGTAGCTCACATGGTAGAGCTGCTGCCCCATTTACCAAGGCTGAGTCCTTGCTGCGATGGGCATGGGTTTGACTCTGACCTGTAGCCCTTTGCTGCATGTTATCGCCTCTCTCTCCTCCCGTTTCTATCACTCTACAGATGTCACTATCCATTACAGACAATAAAAGTTCCCAAAAAATTATTTCTCTCCTTTGATAGGCCTTTATTTCCTTTAAGCTCCCCATGTTTATAATTATATCTCTGAAGGCTTAGTGCTAAAAATGACAAGCAACTTAATGTAAGATTATTAAAGGTTTTGCAGGTCTCAAATAACGGACACAAATTACCTGTAGGTTCAAATGCTATATTTACTGTGAATACACAGTACCTAGATCATAAAATTACACTCCACAGATGGCTCAATTATAGGTCTCATTGGAAATTTGAAATGGAGCGAGGAAGAAATATACGCATATTGCAGCACAGTTCCAGACATTTCAGATCTATATATGTAGGTTCAAGTGTTATGTTTTGAACAGTGATATCTGAGCCATGCCCTTAGGGGCACTTTTCAGATGCATCACCTTGCAAGATAGGTGCTGCTGCCTCTTTTGTTAGATGACACTACTGTTAGTACTTTGATGAAAAAGTGTCTCAATAGCTTTGCACCTGAAGTAGATAGCAGAATAAGTTGCAAGTGGAAAAGTTAAATGAGATGTGTTTGCTCCACCAAACTGAGTAATAAGGGCTCCAGCAGACCTGAGATCCTAAATGTCACAATCTACAGTGATATTACACTTCACCTTGTGAGTACATGCAGGATGTGTGAGAATGAAGTTATTAATATGAGCTATTGTGGCGGTAAATGTGGTCTATTCTGCCTGCAGCCAACAGTGTATATGAATTTGTATTTTTAATGTGCATGCACATGTATTTCATATGTGTGCTTGCGTGTTCCAGAAAATGTCCTTGCTAATGACCTGAGACAGTGCAGTCAGTCATCCTTACCATCTGCTGTTACTGGCACATAACCCATCTGGTCAAGCATAGACAGATGAATCATCTAGTTGGCTTCCAGACCCAAACTTCACCTCGAACTACATCTCACATCATGTCAGCAGCTACAGTTCAGTGGGCTTGAGTTTGTTTGTTTTTTACATCCGTCCCTGTGGCCTAATCCAGAGGTCAGCAGCTGTTTTTGGTGTTTTATGCGACAACACTTTTCAGTCTAATGAGTTGATGGGTCCATGTGATGCTTTGTAAAGAAACATCAATCTGTAAAGAGCATCTACTCCTGAAGTGCAAACAATTCTTCTTTATTGACCCTGCAAGGGCGTTACACTTGGGTTGTCTGGTTGAAGCATGGCTCTTTTGGGATTGGTTCACTTCTGATATTTACCATGTTCATTATGTTAGTTTTGCATTTTGGCACGCTAACATGATGGTACCAAATTGCATTCCTATCCAACCAGTAGTTGCTGAGACATTTTACTAAAAGGCACAAATGTCAACACCATGTTGGTGCTAGAGGAAGTCAGGGGATCACCAAAGTCAGATGGATAATCTAGGCAGCATGAATGTCTGTACCAAATATTACACTGTTATTCACTATCATGGCTAAATGTCTAAAACATTTGGTTTCATTCCAACTTTGGATTAATGTAAAACTGTAGCTGTACATCAGACTTCCACTTTCAGAGGACTGAGCTTCAGTAATAAATTCAATTCTTTCCTCCTTTAAAACTGGTATATTCTCCATAATCTCTACTGTCACTGCACCGAAAACCCAGAAGATAAAAACTATAAAGCCTGATGTTGACACAATGTGAATTGTTGTATTGTGTATGGATTCTGTATTATTACATGCTGCAAACTGATGACGGTCCTTCCACAGAGTGCTGGTTTGCACTATACTCTAGGACAAATAGATATTTGATTTAAACTTTGGAAGAAGAAAGAAAATAAATTTCAATAAACCGTTATCCTGTTTCTCAAGTAAATTAAGTTTCTAACAATCGGGTAGCTCAGCAACAGAGGCCACAGACATCCTGAAAGTAGGTCTGAGACACTCTTTGCTAAACAGTATTATCCACAGTAGTGCACCACACAATGACACCAAGGGCATCCAGGAAAAAAAGTGACAACAGGATTAGAATGTCTACATCAACGTGTCACCTTGAGAGCCATTAGGCAGAGAGAAACTTGGCTTGTCAAGTGTCATGAACCTGTTCACAGTCTGTGCCAAACAAGGGAGACCACACATATAATTAAAGTGTTTAAAGCAAAATAAATGTAATTAACCAATGTTCATACTAGACAAAGTAATACAGATTTATGTACATCAGTGTTATCAGTAGTGTAGTGAGTGCTGGATCTGCTGGCTGGAAGGAGAGAGAGTCGACAAACTGATCAACCTCTTATAGAGCCTAGTAATCACGGAGGGAACAGGTGTAGCCCATCTAATAGCCACACCCCTGCCACTCAAGAGCAAAAGGAAAAAGACATAGACCAACAGAGGGGGAAGGGGTCATCACATCAAGAAAAACAAGATTCTATTTGAATGTTGTCTTTGAGGCACCCATAGGAACTACATCAGTGGTTAGTGAAACATTGACGCAGTTCCTCAAAAGTGTATCTTTTCTTCTTATGAATGCATAAGGGGAAACTGGCCAGAGGAGGTTATAGTAACACATGAATGAACTGTCTGAACTGTCTGTGGAAGGTTTTCATATCAAACTCATTTTATAGACCTTGGGTGAATAAATTAGTGGCATAGACTTAATTTGGCTTGCCTTAAAGGATGTTATCAAGCATTATCATTAACAGTTTAATATCTGTGGTCAAGTCAAAATAGACATTTGTTTACTGGATCCGTTTTTGAAACATTTGTTTGATAAACATTTCAATATGGGAGTGATAAATGTGCTACAGTCTGGCCAACCAGTTGCATCTGTGGATCTGGTACATCCTGGCATCTGGCATCCATGTTTATTCCTCCAACACTGTTTTCTCTCCAACACTCAGTTTGTTCCAAACCCCTCATTTTTTGTTCTCCTTTGGTTCTCACACCATGGATCTCTTTTGAGTTCTTTCTCTTTAACCACCCACTTCCCTCTTCTCCCCTAGTTCTCTCTCCCTCCTTCTGAAGCTTAACTCGCCTCCCGGCTGTGTTTCTATGTCTTTGTGCCCTTCTTGCTTCTATGTCTTTGTCAGCCTTCTTTTTACTCTCTTGCTCAAAGCTCCAAAAGTGTCACTTGTTGTATACAAATAGATAGCACAGCACATTTCTTCATGATATTTGTGTATTTGTAATGTTATTACATATTTGTGCTTGGAGGAATTTTGTTTATGTAAAATGATAAATTATTTGTATGTGTATCAATATGCTTTTATATGGATTTCTTTTGATATCCCATCATTATTGTACCTTTAAGCCCCTGCACATGCGGCAATCATCAAAACAGTTCCTTTGTAGATAGACAGTGATTGTACATTTTTGTGTCACCAACGATGTGGCCCTGGTCTTCCTTTTTGCTATGACGGAACATCATAGTAAACAGATAATTATTTGTTTCTGTGGCCTGTGCAGGCTTCCTCCTGTTTAGTCCTCAATTAACCCTGTTCAATAATTGGCTGTGCCTCCCATAGAGAAATGAACAGTATTTCAACTTCAAACACACTAATCACAAAGGCAGCATCAGTAGGTGGTCGTGTGTGTGTGTGTGTGGTGTGTGTGCTCTTGGCCGCTATCTGCCCTTGCCCCTGGTGACAGGATGTGAGGCAAGGAGGAGAAGGGAGGAGCTCAGCCCTGTCATTGGGGAGCGCTTATCGCACTGAACCAGGAGACACACTCACGCACAGAGAGATGCATGGACACGGGTGCATACCTACACTTACAGGCATGCACTCTCACACACACACGACACATGTGAATGAATTTGCATGTGTAAATGGGTTTAAATTCACACATGAAAGGTAGCAGAGTGGTGCTGAATTGATCAGTCAATTAACTGATTAGTTGCTGGGCAGAAAATTAATCAGGAACACATTTTTAAATGACACACATTCTCTGGAGCCAGCATCTTGATTTTAAGGAATTTGCTGCTTTTCTTTGTTTCCTGCCATAAATTGAATATCTTTGGATCTTTGGTCGGTCCAACAGAAAAGGCAATTTGAAGATGTATCATTGATAGTTACATTAATCATTAGTTGCAGTCCTAACACACACTGCGGGTACACACACGTTTGTCCTCTCTGCTCCATTCTTCCTGTTCACTTTTCCTCCAGGGTTATGGTGGAGGGTCTGAGGCCAATCCTCTGAGGCATCAAGGAGATCTCACACAGCTGATACCACATTACCCTTCACTCTTCACTCCTCTTCCTCCTGCCCTCCAGTTGCCCCCCAGCTCCTCCTCCTCCCCTGTCATCTGGCCTCTGCTTGACTTTACCCTCCTCTTTTCCATCACTTCTTCAATATTCTGTCGTCTTACTTCTGCCTGGCCTCTTTCCTCTTCTTCTGTCCTCTCTCCTCACCTGTCCTTTTCACGCTCTCCTCTCTTCTTCCTCCTTCTTTCCTCCCTGCTCCTTCATCTTCCTTGAGTGATAGGAGCAAGACAGAGACATGGCAAGGCGAGAGGAGAGGAGACAGCAGAGAAGTCACTGCATCAACCACAGTCTGATAATTCATCAGCAGCTGTTTAACGCGCTGCTACTTTGTCTTCATTAGCAGCCGCTGGTTTCGCTTCATAAAAGTCATTAGGAAAGTTGTTATCAAAAATCCCGCAACACTTTGTCCATGTACCCTTGTCCTCTTCTTAGGTCTTCATTTAGAAGAAAATAAATGGTCTCTGATATAATCAACTTTCTTTTGAATATTATTGAAGTTGCAGGAAATTACAGGCTACGTTAAAACCTCTGCACAGAAATACAGTATAGTAGATGAAATCATTTTTACTGAGGAGATATTAAATGAGCCACATTAAACAATGGACGTGAGATAGATAATAATGTTTTATCCAGAATAGATTGATAGCTCTGTGGAATGAAATGAAAAAGGATGCATAGCCATTTGAAATGAAACCATTTCTTCAATGAATTTATTCTGTAGCTTATCAGATCAGATTGGGTTATAGCGTTTGCCACATGCATTTGGGATGGGCTGTTTCAGAGTTTCAGACTCCGTTTTTTTTTTTTTTTTTCACAGATAACTACTGGAACGCTGCATCATTCACCACCCCATCGTCCTACCTACACTTTGCCACCTTCCAGGGTGAGACCAGTGCCGACATCTCCTTCTATTTCAAGACCAGCGCACCCTACGGCGTTTTTCTGGAAAACCTGGGCAACACTGACTTCATTCGCCTGGAGCTCAAATGTAAGATGCATCTGAGCATCTTTCTGTGTGTGCATGAGAGTCATTTCTCTCTATGTTTTTCTCTCTTATTCTCTCTCTCATTCTGACTCTTTATCCAGCCTAGTGTGACGTTTAATCCAGCAGTCAGTCTGATAGTGCTGGATTCAGCCTGTCACCACACACACACACAGACACACACAAACACACTCAGTATCACATAGACACACAGAATAATGCAGACACACACACCAGCAAGTCAATTGCCTTGCTGATTATGGTGCACTACTTTGTGTGATTGCAAGAGAGAGCAATCATTTATTTAAGGTAATTGGTGTGTGCAATAATTATGTCCATTATGAACCTCTGTTTAACCAAATCACCCATTTTCAGGGATGACAAAACACAAGCTCTCATACACACACACACACACACACACACACACACTGACAGTCTCTCTCTTTTTTTCTTAAAATAATTTTTGCATACAGCAGCATTTAAATCTCTTAGAAGTTCAGCCCCATAACCTTTTCCACCACAACACACAAATACACACTTAATATAGTAAAATTGTATTTCAGTGCTTTGTCAAACATAAGAAGGAAATGGAAGAGTAGGCAGCAGAAGACCTTCTCTAAGTCCTTTCTAAGACCTATGATTGACATGTGATGCAGCAGGTTTCTGTGATCTGGCATCTCAGATGAACATCCCAGCAGCCTTGGTGGAGCCGCTCTGATCGAGAATTTTAACATTCTGGGCTTAATTTTAATCGCGGAGCTGCATTGTGGATCCTGGCAAAGCATGGCTGTCGATAGAGGATTCAAAGAAATTTGAACATTTGGTGTCAAAGGCACTCACTTACCATTTCCTCCTAGTGTGCCTGGCCCACCATTTTGAGTCAAAATGCCAACCAGTGAACAGACACAAAGTCGGCAGATGACTGTTGAAGCCATCTAAAGCCATTACACTGACTGACATTATGTCAGCTGATTTGTGGCCTAAAAGTTCCATAAGGTTTTTGTTTTCTTTCCCAATTCTCTCTTACAGCTAAACTAGCATTTTCACAAAGTCAAATACACATGTATACATGCACAAAAAAACAATGTGCTGATCCTACACTGTACATGGAAGCACAGTGAAAAGTTTGTCAAAGGGGGTTAGTATTTGTCTTCCAAACATGCACACAAAAACACACACAAAGATACAGTAAGTATCTAGTCTGTCACGGCTGCACAGCAGGCCAGAGGAGATAGGGAGTGGGTGTGCGTGTGCGTGTGTGTGTGTGTGTGTGTGTGTGTTTGCGCGTGTCTGTGTGTGTGTGTGTGTGTGTGTCTCTCTCTTTCAAAATGCCCCCACATCGATTTCCTCTCTCCTCTCCCTTGCTATCATCTTGCATTTTGCCCCACAGCACACGTTAAGACACACAATCGCAAAACTACTTGCGTGCACACAGACACATGCTCACACACATAAACACACACATAATCTCTGCCCTCTCACTGGTGCAAAAACTGTATCTGCTGCAATCCCGTCAGGGCATGAAATGACTAGCATTAGGCCAGAGTAGCATAGCTGTGCTATTGCAGGAGCTCAAACCACATATACACCCACTTACAGATACACACATGTGACCTTGTACAAAGCACACATTACTATGACCTCAGCAGACTCAGGTGGACACTATTCCCCTTTGAATCTTAATAAGAAGAAGTAGGCAAAGAAGCATTTGAAACGCAGCATTTAAGACATTTTCAGAGCCATGTGAACTGGACTGGTAACAGGATAGAGGACAGATAAAAAGGTCCCTAAATACAGAAATGCCTTACTTCTGGGGTCCTCTGTAGCTCAGAGGAAAGAATGTCTGTGCCATGTTTTGAGCCCTTAAGGGGCTGCAACTTCAGCGTTAGTCTTGCCCAAAGGTTATAAATGTTTTCTGTCTGGGATCCAGCTGAGAAATGTACTTTAGAGACCTTGGCTTATAAAATTGTATTATTGCCCTCTTTATATGACGACCAGACAGACTCAAAGTTTACATCTGAAGTTTAGCGGTAGTCTATGCAGCTCTAGCTTCTCAAAGTTGTCAAATGTCTTTCTAATTTGTTAAAGTAATATCTAATATGTGTCTACTAAGGAGAAAAGCAACAAGCCACCAAAATTTTATCAGACTCAAAAAACTGTGAGAAGTTCGAGAATCTCACTATATCTGTTCTATGTACACACTAAGAAATACTCTTAAGATTCTTTGCATTGTGAGCATGCAATCTGTTTGGCTGATAAGCATTACAAAGTCTTTTTTATCACAAAGAGATGCTTAGCTTTTGAGAAGTCACTTTAAATCTTGTTTCAGCGTTAACAGCTGCAGGTTTGCTGTGGCACTCTGAGTTTGGCACGCACTTAAATAGAGTTTCCCTCCTTAAAGGGGCCAGACTGCTCCATCCGTCCCAGGAGTGAAAAACACCGAGCAAAACGGCTAACAGACGAACAACAAAGAATTAGCAAGTATAACAGGAAAGAGATCGAAGAGATAACACACTGCCAGCCATCTAAAAATGGATGAACAGCAAAATAAAACTTAACATTAGACAAACACACACCCACATATATGCACACCCACACAAGCAGCGATCATTTACACAAAGACACACACGATACACAACCTCTTTCACTATTTATCATTGTTTGGTTGTGCTGTGCTGACGCACAATTTAGAACTTGGCTTTTTCAGCTTCCATATTAAAAGATTAATAGAAAACCCAATACCGAACAAATAAAAAGTTCTGCTGGGTTTTCTCTGGGTTACATTCAAGTATATCACACACACACAAAATTACACTCACACACACATTAGCACTTATGACATCCATCACTGCTATGCAAATAGATGAGGCAAGCTCTGTGCTCTGAGGGCACTTTAGTTTTCATTCCTGCCTGTGGACTGATTATAAAAAAGAGAGTTGTAGGACATCCATCTTGCTTTGCAATCAAACACACACACACTCAAATGCCATTCAGCATTGCTATAGTAGCACTGCTATAGCTTTGCTTCTATTGGGGTATTCTGATATATGCTTGGCTTTCTTTCAGCATTTAAAATAACTGATGTCGCTCCACCCTGCCCTGCAGACCTGCTCTCTGCATACAGACATCATTAATTCAGTGTACTAAAGCCTGTCAGAGGGCTTATACTCTCTGCCTCGCTGTGTGTGCATGCATCTATTTGTCTGCATGCTGCTGTGTGTTGTGTTGTGTGCTGTGGGTAGTTGAATGTTTAAGCACTTTTTCAGATTTATCTTACAGGTTAATGCACACAGCACATCCAGACAGGCTTATTCTGGGATGATATCTGGTGTCTTTGCATTTCATCTAAGGGGAAATTATAATGTGAGCAAGAAAGGGGATCGAGAAAGAAGGTAAAGCAGGAAGGAGTGATGGGAGGGAGGGCAAAGTGACAGATAAGATTAATAAGGGATGGGTACAGATTGAATGCAAGAAAGCAAGCAGTAAATGAACAAATGAATGATGAAATGAAAGAATGAAGGAAGTAATACACAGGGAAGGGAGGTCAGAAAGAAACCAAGGAACTATATGTGTGTACTGTAGAAGATTTAGAAGAATGGAAGAATAGGTGGAGTGAAAAAAGATAATTAGATGAAAGCAATATTAAAAGGAAATAAAGGCCAGGCATATTGATTGCGTGTAAGGAAAGAAGAAAGGTAATTTCTCCATTGACCACAACATAAAATTAACCACTCTAATATCTGAGCCTAATGAAGTCATAATGAAGCTGTAACATATAGAGCTTTGAAGTGGTTGTTCATCACTTCTATGACTGCAGCACACTAGTGCCAATAACAACCATATGGCAGCACCCAAAATATATAGCTTTTATACAGCGGCCTCACAGTAGTACTCAGCATTAAGAAAAGAGTGAAATTGGTTTTTAATGTGACAATTGCAAATCGTCTTTCCAGCTGCAAAAATAATTCCCTCATTGTTTCCTCATTGTTGCTTCATTCCTTTCATAGGTCAGGATAAAAATATTTCTTTATGATTATGTAGTGGCAAGCATTCATTGAACAACTCTCATCCACACACAATGAATATGCTGTCAGAAACAATGACATAATAATAATAATGACACAAACCAATTCAACAGTGTCTTACAGTTGGAATATATGAGAGAAGTGGCACTAGGCTCTAAGATATATTCATATAAAGCTGTATATTATAGTATGTATTAGTTAGTAGTATTTCTTAAAAGATGTTTTAATATCTGGCTCTTGTGGAAGTTATTTACTTGATTGTATCAAGTTGAGATAGAGCTGGAAATAAGAACACACACATATTCTCTTTTTCTGTCATAACATACACACACAGTGTATAGATTGATCAATGTTTCCTCTAGAGAGGTTGAAAGCCATCAGACAGTGACCTCACCAATGCAGTAGCGAACATCTGGAATGGACAGGTGGTAGACTGAAATACACAAACAAAAAACACAAACACTGTAATTCAGAAATATCAATGAACATTTGACCTGTCATGGTCATAAAAGATATAACAGTGCCCCCTGTTGGTCTGTGGAAATATTAGGCTACTGAACTACGGAGTAGCAGTAAACCTAATGGCATTTCAACTTCCTTAATTCCCCATAACATATCCCAAACACACAAACTCACATCCTGACACATACACACACTCTCTTTGTCATTCATCTACAACTTTTCATCTCTCATTCTTTGGTTTTCTTCTCTCCAACAAAACAAGCAAAAAGTTCAAGAACAGCAAAAAAAAACACATGGAAACTGCTGCGTAACAACTTTATGCTGTGCAAAACCTACAGTTCCTGACATCTATCGACTGTCTGTGAGATTAGTCCTGTCCAAAGCTGTGAGCAGTCGTGTATTGCAAAGCTGAAATCTATACAAGCCAAATGAATGGCCTTGAAACAAATGAGCCTTTAGATTAGAAATTGAATGTGTATTTACCTGCAGAGTGGACTATGACAGAACAAGGAGTTATGGGTTTTAGAAAGTTGTGATGTTAGTTAAGATATCAGGTGAATTGATTCTTTATACTCCCTGCAGCTCCTAAAGTCGTCTCCTTCTCCTTTGACGTTGGAAACGGACCTGTGGAGTTAACGGTACATTCGGCTACACCCCTCAACGATGACCAGTGGCATCGTGTGATGGCTGAACGAAATGTCAAAGAGGCAGTCCTACAGTTGGATCAGACATACAGGACATCTCGGCTTGCTCCTGCACAGGGGCACACACGGCTAGAGCTGTTCAGCCAGCTCTACGTGGGTAAGACACACACACACACACACACACACACACACACACAATCCAAACAATTAACAACCCTAATGTGTAAGAAGGACTCACGTACACACATTTGATTGCAATTTGAACATTTAATATTCGCTTTGTGTAGGAGGGACTCTCACAGAGACAAACACACCGTAATTATAAACTCTTGTGTGTGGAAAGCCACTGCCTAAGTACACATCATTCATGTAATAGTAATTGGATTGAATTAAAAAACTATCTGTGCTGCCCTCAGATGCACACATCCATTTTGAGGACATGTGATTATTTCAGAAGTTAAAGAAGTAGCAGCCTTTGCTGAAAATCACTGGCTGCTTTCTTAAGAAGCTTCAGTTCAGCTTAGCCACAGCCACTGCTAATTAAGTTAATGTTAATCCAGCATATGCACGCACACACACACACACACAGCAAATTCACGTTTTAGGATATGCACACATGTGAAAACACAGGGAAACTCATAAATGTAAGTGATCAGAGTTTTAATAAAGTAAAACTGAGCCTCTGTGTTGGCTATGAGGACGTGTGACTTAAACTAACTTAATTCACTTATGCTGTAAAGGTCATTTCTTTGATACTTTAACTTTATATTTCTTTGGATTAAAAAAAATATCATTGCACAAAGAGGATACAAACACTCTGACTTTCCCTCTCCTATCAGACAGATCAAGCTCTTGTTATCACACCAATTATGCCCACATTTTCTTAAAGAGGTCTGGTTTGTTCCTCATGGATTCATCTTCCTCTCCACACAATATCTTTTAAGCTCATCAGGAGTTCAAATGGCAGAAGATCTGTCCAGTTTTCTTCCTTTGCTTTCACTTCTCTGTCTCTTTATACCCTTTGTGCTGAGCTGTCAATACACTATAAACCAAACTCTCGGGCTAAAATAGTTTTAGGGATTTGCGGATAGAAGGAAAAGTGCTGAGACGGATCAGAGTTCCTACTGTCTCATGGAAAAAGTTCTTTCCAAAGGAGATTGTTCCAAATTCCAATCAGGCATCCCGATGTGATAGCCTTACCCTCCCTGATCCCCGTTTATAATATAATTTCATCGTCTCATCACTTTTGCTGATTCGAATGCTGCTGAAACATCCTCACCTTATCATGTCCCAATTTGCCTCTCAGTGTATTTGTACTTTCATTTAGTGAAATGAAAAGGGCTGAGAAAGGTTTTGTCACTGTGCGACTCGCAGCTATAAACCTGAAACGTAATGGCTTCCAGATAGGCCTCGGCTGTCACCTCATTTGCATGTGTGTGTATTCTGGCTTTTTTATCGAAGGAAGAAAGAAAAAGGCTCAGGCCCGCTGTGTGTGACGAACAAAGGAGATAGTGTGAAGATAGAAAGCAAGAAAGCAAAGAAAGACTTGTATGTAACAACAGCCACAGAGGTGACAACACCTTCTCATATCTGATCTCTAATCCCTGCTTAATCCTTATTTCAGGATTCCCTTTGGGAAGTTTCAGTGGGACACACAGGAAGTTGCCCAGCCACTAAAGGGAAGTGGTTTAGATTTGGCCTGTGACATCCAAAAAGATAGAGATCCTTTTGTGTTTGATCGAGAGATTTGGAAAAGGGTGCGGGGAGCCCTGCAGGCATCAAGATTTTGTCTTAACCTGCCTGATTCTTCCTTGTAACTTCCTCCGCCACTTCACATGTTGTCTCTGAGGGATATTGATGTCGTGTTTGAAAGTAGTGAGATAGAAAAAAAACCAATGCAATCCAGAAGCATAAAAAGAATTTAAAAAATGATTTAAAAAAATATGTTTGATTTTACATGAACACACATTAACGGAAATACAACAGGGAGTTTTATTTTGCTCAGCATGTTCTCATATCTGTCCCTGTATCATCTCCTTCTCCCTTTCTCAATCAATATGCTCCTCATCAAGCATTTGATTGCTTTAGTGTTTACTGCACAGTGGCTCATTTGCTCTAATGGCCTTGAGAGTAAATGTTATACCATCAGCCTGCTGTCATTTACTTCACACTGTTAACTTTTAGCTCTGCGATTCACTTCATACATGCACATAACTATAAATCTTGCCACATTTTATTCATTTAATGCCACCATCTGTTCTTTTGATTTTCCTTTTGATTAATGTGCACAATCAAATTTTTTTTCTTTATGATTTTGCATGTTTTTCCTCAATTCTCTCATGGTTGGATTGCTTTTGTCTTTCTTTTCTACTTTCTTTTTTCTTTCCTTGCCTGTGTCTTCGTGGATCGACATCTTGCTTGTTGCTACTCACTGCATGTGTGCTCCACCTGTGGCAGGGAAACCAGCCTTGCTCACCTGCCAAGACAGTAGGTAACATTTAATAGTACAATGTACAATGAAATGTCTCTGTGACATTGATTCAGAGATAACAACATAACAGTCCAGTACACAAACACATGTATAAAGACAAAAACACAGATGTTTGTATTTTGTTTTTTGCAGCCCCACACTAGCAGTTGTGATTAAAGTTTAGCCAGGATTAATCTTCTGAAATGTAACTGCTCATGCTCTTGTGCTGCTACTTGTTCATACTATA